TCTAACAAGTTCGTCCCCGTCGATTCTCGTTGCGCAAAGTTCATGAACATCAGAGAGCAGCTCGCAGGCTATAAGGGTAGATACACCACCACCGCCGACCGAACTGGAATGGATATTTTCATATTGGGTATTTTATATTTCTATCTTATCCATCGGCTTATCGTGGAAACGTTCATACAGGTATGCAATCTTATTTTCAATGAGAGACGCGATATCTCCGAGGGAAGTTTTGAAAGTGAAATCAAGTAAAATTTCGGTAACGAAAAAACAATCGTGTGCAGGGCATTAAGTGACTCTTGTGATTAATAAATTTGTTAAATTCTAATAAGGTGTAATTTTTATTTTGACGAAATAGTGGCAAAGGTATTGATCGAAGGTAATTCTTGCAAAGAATGTGTGAACGCTAGAAAGTGATCACGCGCTAACGGAATAAAGGTGAGACGTACAAACGTAAAAAGTTACGTTAATCAAAACCACAGACATGAGATCATATTTTCAGATTGTGGTCGACCACTGTATCGTTATAAAAATCTATATTGTTACTTCTTCATTGCGTTTCAATAAACAAAAAAATAATTTAATAATAGATTAATTTTACATTAATTCTCCTACAACGTGAATATTTTTAGAGAAAGGTATTTGTTATTTCGACTATTACCGTACGATAAAATTAAACAGTTATAAGAAATTTAATTAAGTAACATGTAATCTTACCAAAACGATAGAGCATCTTTCACATCTCGTCCTTCGTTTATTTGGGCAAGAAATTCCGCGAGGAATATATCCAACCACTGTGATTTCTAAACAGAAAAAACGTGCAATCCATAATTTAATTTATTAACTATAGAATAAGCCATTGAATCACAATAAAAAAATTAAAACAAAAGATTATCAAAAGTCCGATGTTAAATGCTAATTACTATAGTCTAAATAAATATAAATAATTAACTCTCTTTTAGCAATACTATGCCTTCTAGATTTGATCGAACAATAAGAAAAATATTGCGACAGAGATACAAATATCACGAAAAAATAGTAAATATAAAGTACTAAATTCTGTAAAAAAGAAAACAAAGATATTGCTTTCTTTAATTTTCGAAATGCAAAATGATTATTGCACGTGCCGCGGTATGCCTGATAAAATAATCGGCTCGATAGAAACAGCGACCAAAATATAAGAATATAAGGATTGAAATTACACAAATATCTTAATTTTGTCTTATACAATTCGATAGCTCTGCTACCAAATGGCATAATTGGTAAGAATGCATATTATGTTATTTCGAGTTTGTATTTAAACAAACATTCATCATCGTATTTTTTGTCAGAGGCAAGCGATTATCAATTCATGAATTTTACTGATATGAATTGTCTGATGCAAATTTTCTGTAGTTGCTTCAACTTCCCAAGTACATGGGAAGAAATCAATAGTGTTAACGTTACATGGGACAGAGGATCGCTTGTTATTTCGATACACGCGAAAAAATATCGACAAGCATATAAGTTACGCGTGACTTGTAAGTCATCTTGAGACCAACATAAGGTACTGTTTAGCCATGATTGACAATGATTACGAAATCTCGCTTAGTGAAACGTGGCAAGGAATAACAAGATGAGGTAAGTACATTTAAATAAAAATGATCACTGACTAAGTTTTTACCGTTTAGATAGAATATTCCAAAGAGAAAGGATATAGTTACGTGAAGATAAAATTGATATTGTTGCAAGTTAATCTGGCTAGTTAGAGTCTCCTCTGCTCTTCGATGTGCCAATTGATCTATCAAATTTGAATCCTCGACTTTATAACTTTGGCGAAGTGAAAAAAAGGGATAAGGAAGAAATCGTGGTGGATAGAAATTCTTAGATGCAGGGATCGTGTACCTCATAGCTCTGCGGTTCTGCATGAATGAAATGATCCCACAAAATCTGCAGTTTGTTAGTCGAAACCGAAGACATTACTAGACGTTCTTCGAACTCCTTTTCGTCGTCTTCCTCCCTGTCTTCTGTCCTCAACCGGGTATCCTCCTCATAGCTCAAAAGCTCGTCGAAGCTGAACCATGGATAAAAGGTGTCCTCGGGTAATCTTCGAGGATCACTGCTAGGACACGCAACCCGATCACCTGAAATATCGAGATGTCTATACGTTATGCCTTATACGTTTCGACGTTCGCTTAAAATCTACACGCATTTGATTGAATCGCTGCGTCTAGCGCGTTGCTACTCTCGTCACTGAACAAATATCCTCTCGCTGGATCTCCGCGGTTTCAAACACCTCGCGCTTACAGCACGTATTGCGTTGGGAGTTGAGGTTGCTCCTCGCATACATGCGTCTATATATACGGTCTTTGTATGCGTTTATGTCGATCAAGTACAGCTTACATAACATCCCCACGAGTCCACGACAGACCAGTTCCTAGCCTTCCACGGGAAGCCTGAAAGCTTCTCAACCCACGAAGTACGGCCTACGAGAGAGCAGTAACCCCGGATTCATAGATCGCTGCACGTCGCCGTTACCACCAACACCACAACCAACATCACCGCTACCAATAGCACTGGAACATGGTGACACAATTCATCGCCAGTTGTTAACACAACAGTACAAGAACCCGGGTCTACGATCATCGGCCACTTCTTATCAACCGATTTACTTTGGAGTCACACGACGTTACCTCCTTATCGCTTGGTCTCGACCATAACACGATTCGTTCTTATACCTCGAAGAACGACTGTACCAAAGTAGCTGAACGAAGCTCGAGAATGCATCTACTTATCTCGAGTCTCCGACTCGTTTCTCCAATTCCCATCGTGGAATCCCCCAAGTTCCCACCAATCAATCGATCCAGCGGAAACGAGACTGTCAATACCCCCGATTACTGTTTAATGTATCTTCGTCCTAAGCAAATTATCGGAAACATACGTTAGACCACCACCGAGTTTACCACCACCAAGGTTCATGACCTCAACGACTGATCTACACTCGTTCCGGTCAAGTAAATATGACCTATTCCTTTTATTATAATTTTGCTAGGAGTAAACGTGATGGTCATTGATCTTACGTTCTCGAAACTTTACTTTCGATCGATAATATAAATAGACAGAGGACAACTCGAAACAGCACGTAAACAGTGCCCCAAATGTAATCGCGTCGTACACAATACTAGATCACGTACTTCATTCGATAGATGCAGCTATACAATTCTATGCAGTTACTTTCGCTTATATTGAATTCTTTTTTTTTTCTTCCCTTCTTTCTTTTTTTCTGTTAAAATATTCAAGTATTCACCAATTTTGCCAGGATCTCATTATCTTACTTGAACGAAATATATAAAATCGAACCGCATGTGGTTAAATATTTTGACTGAAGTCGCAAATTTGCGACACATTAACGAGCCACTACAAGGCTGATTTGCCGTCTGATTTTGATAAGTCTTCAAATCGAGATCCACGTACGAACTGTCCAGTATGCGATATAAGGAAGGGACAGGCTAGAGACGAGCCTTCCGCAGGTTAAAGAGGCCAACAATCGGCTTCTTTCTTCGACGAAAAACGTAATCCTAAGAGACAGGTAAAAAACACGAAATAAATAACGTATTCATCTTGGTTATTCGAATTCAACCAGTTACCTCTGTACAAGTCTATACAAGTAGGACATAATGGTAAACCTTGAATTTGTTGACTAACATATATGTATGTTATCTCTCTAATTAAGAAACGTAAGAAATATAAATAATGCTCTAGATTCTATTGTAGATATTGTATAATATTCCGATTCGCAGGACTTCGTAATATTGCACATTACGAAATTAACACTATTATCTTATTGAAATTACATGTACTACATATGCATAAATATATACATTGAAATATGTACGTTAGCGGCATCGAATGATTTTACAGTATTATAATTATCGAATTGTACCATGTTTCCTTCCCACCTAGTGCTAAAAGCCGCGAGAGGAGAGTCTGGCAAACAATGATAATTTGATAAAACAATTCGAACACGTGCAATGAATTGAAAACAGTTCCAGTAGACAGCAACCATGCAGCCGTAATTGATCAATCTTTGACTTGTATAGACGATTCTTTATTGTGCCGTATGATTATCTTAATAGCGTTCTACCCCACTGTTCTTTAATTAGCTTCGCCTCGACAGTGCGATAATAATGCTCGTCTGAGTCTTCTTCTTCGCGAAAAACCAATCGATATTTGTACCGCGTGTGTCAGTGGAATACATTTGTTATAATGTGATATTTAGTATAACAGATAAGGTTGTGGTATTAGGTTACAATAAGGTGTGTTATTTTTTCAAAGTGATTACAAATTTTCAAAGGTGGGTCGTTGTGCAATCATGAATCGATAAAATAAATTTGGTAAAGCATTGATCGACTAATTTAATCACTAACGGTAATGTATGATAGCATTCATCTGAGCGCCCGTTTCGGCAGTAACCTCATTAATGTTACGTTTTGCCTTACCAACATAGATTAAGTTTTTTATCCTGGCCTTGACTTTTATATTTCTCTTGATTAAGAAACTATTTTTCAAATCATCCTCTTCGACGATGATTACATTTCTTCATGATTAAAGAATTTCATTTCACTAGGAAGTCGTACTTACTTTCGCTAATTTTGTATATTTTCCATTTAACGATTTTTACAACTGTATGACTTTTTCTATAATCTCAACGAGAGTGTTAAATACCAAATAACAAGTACTAAACCGAGATAAGAGTTGACCTTCGATGTTTTTATAAAATGTTGATAATTTAAGATATTCTAATTTTTTCTGACAATTTTTTCCCATTGAAGTTGGCTTTATTTTCAACTTGCGTCATATTCCCGCCATGCGCTTCACGTTTGCAGTTTCATGCGCAACGAATTACAGCAAATGTCAGGTAGGAGAATGACGAACACGTAAAACAAGGTGGCGAAGTGACAATAGCAATACTGGCAATGCTTTTGAGAAAAGCATCAATGGTTGTTTCAATTATCTATGGTGTATTTGTTACCTGAGTTGAGTGAATGGAATCCGTGAAAGAATTTTTGAACGATTAGTCACAGTTTTGAATTATTGGAATACAATATTGACACCATTGTTCTTGCATAAAGTACACATTACATACGGCAAATGCCACTGGGTACTGGAAATGAACACTACTATACTTACTCTTCCTGTGATTTTTGCGCCATTTTCAAAATAGTGTTAGAAGTGTCATTCTTCGCAATATTTTTCGAAAAATAACAATACGTAGTAGCGAAATAAAATACGAGATTTAGAAAATATTTTACTGTATCAATTGATTTTGTTCTTAAGTAAAATGATCTACCGTTTATTTGATAAGAAAATTTTGGTCAAAAGAAAGGTATTGATTCGTATAGAAACAATGGTTCCTTGTTAAAGGAAAATTTCATTTGAGTAGATAGTTGAAGAATTGAAAATTTTTATAATTAGTGATTTAATTATATCTATTATTTTAAAAGGTGCTGCCGCCTGTGCTTACGCGCGATATTTTCAACAAATGTCAGTTTGAAATGTTATATTCATCAAGGAACAACGTTCCGTAAAGCATTTCTAACCTTTATTTTGGTATTCTTCCATTAATCCTCCATGCAAGTGGAAACTTATTGCTTTGGTGTATAATTATTGATAAAAAATGACTATGTGGGAAAGGCTACGGAATCCCTGTGGTTGGAGAGCTGGTGCTAAGCAAATTTCAGTCGATGCAATGATACCAATATTTGCAGTCCCAACATTGGCAGTAATAGCCGCGCAAACAGTGTTATGTACTATAATTATATTTGTTGCAACACCAATATTGGTGTATTACTTGCATCACAACTTCCTCAGATTTCTTCTACGTACCAAATTTTTTTTAATGTGGACAATTACCAGTGTAGTTATGTTGATGCTGATCTTTGAAATTAGTGTTGTACCATTACTAGAAATTTTGCTAGAAGAGAATCTAGTATTTATAATGTGTGTTGTGGGTGGTATATGGTGCGGCTACATGACTAGATTAAATGCAGATTCTGCAACTCATGAAGGTAGTTTAACTCAGGGTTTAGAGCTTGGCGAAGGAAGTGGAGATCTTTGTATTACATGTAGAAGAAGAGCACCTCCTAAAGCGCATCATTGTCGAATGTGTCAGACATGCATCCTTAATAGAGAATATCATTGTAAATGGTACAACTCTCTTTATGATGAAAATAGATTTTATCTTATGTAATAATACAGATATATTTAAGATATATATTTTATATTTTAGGTTGGATTGTTGTATAGGTTCAAGTAATTTAAGATGGTACTTGGGATGTTTATTCTTCTCAGCTATAGCTTTTATTTACGGTTCTAATTTGACTATGACTAGTGTATGTCATCCATTTATACTTATTGGTACTGTTCTTTTACCAGATGATTGCAGCGACGTATATCATCAATTAGAGTATGTATTGATCAAAAAATATTTCATATTAACATCAATTTGTAGAGAATATATAATTTTGAAAATAATGATATCCAGAGTATAAAATTATATTCTGCAGAAATACAACACTTTCCATTACTCAATCTGAAAGCTAAACTGGAAAGATACCAAGGATTTACAATGCAAACTTTAATAATCACAAGATATTGATAATTGTTGAGACTTGTGTTAACGTCATAAATATTGTAATATCTCTTATTTGCTTTCTAAGAATATAAGAGTTATAGATAACATGACATGCAAATGTTTGCTTTGGGTACCCAATCTAAATATAATAATGTACATATTGTTCCAGCATTGCCCTTTGCTTCATCTCTGCACTCTACAGCTTGCTTGTTGGGATAGTGGTAGTTTGTTATTTAATATATCATCTTTGGTTAATTTACCTTGGTACAACATCGAACGAACGACGTCTTCTGGAAGCTGGAAGTCCATATGACCATGGAATGTTAAAAAATGTATCTCGGTTATTTTGTTGCAAAACTTAGATATTAAATGTAGACTAAACTATTAGACTTACTTTGTATGGAAGGTGATACTTTGTACTGTGTAAAAGATATTAGAAAAATTGAAACAATTGAGGCCAAACAGCAGGCATAGCAATATGTGAAAACACACACTTTGATATTTATTTCACAATGCATTTTAATATACTTTAATACTTATCCTTGTTCTTTCTTTATGATAACAAGGTATGTACTTAATACTCTTAAGCTATTGCTCATAATATTAAACTTAATAAAAACATATCATGATGTAAGAGCGCTGAACTCAGTTATAGTTTTAACTATTTTTATTCTATTATTGCGCACATCACTTATATATTTATTATAACTGTGATAAAATGGCCATTGTACTAATTAGCACAATAAAATATATTACTCAATTATGTTTAGTACATCTAAGGTTTAAACATAAATTAGCTATGATATATATTTACATTTTTCCTATACAAAATAATGCAAAATGAATAACAGTCGTTTGTGTTATATAAACCTGGGTATATGACTATGATGTAATTTTTATGCTCTAGTTTTAATGTCATAGATGAACTTTAATCCTCCAATGCTACATTTCTCTGTATAGGATCAAAATCAGGAATTACTTCTTGCACCAACTGTCGTAATTTATTTTTTCTTTTTTCACTTTTTTCAATATCTATAGCAATCACGAGATATCTCTTCCATATGCCGAAATACTTGACTTTTAACTTATTTTCATAAATTTTGATAACTAACTTTGTTTTTTCTTCAGATTTTGCTTTAAGTTCAAGTGTTGTTACTCGCCACAAGTTAAAGTATTTATCTAGAAGTTTCATATCATAGAAATCTACTGCAACTTGATATTTCAAGTTTAATTCTCTCGCTTCCTGTTTCCATTCTTTAAATATCCTTGACATTAAAATTGTGCGATAAGATGATTCGACAATTTCAGTTTTTATTTCGTATTGTATTTCTACTTCCTTTTTCCATATCGCGAAAATTTTCTTTGTTAATTTTGTCCTATAATAATCCTCTGCTTTTTTGGTATTAATCCGTAATTCTTTGATAAGCATTACGAATGGTTTCACTATGTAATGTCGTAGAAGATACTTTCGATAGAATTCATCCGCTATACTGTTTAATCTTTGCAATTTTTCTATTTCCCGCTGTCGATTTTGTTCTTGCTCTTTTCGTAATCTTCTTGCCTCTGCTAAAGCCTATCAATGAATGAACAAAAAATTCATCACGCTATTTAAAGAAACCTATATCGACAAAGAGTTGTATTTTTAAAAAGATAACAAAGACTGCGAGGTGAAATTAGTGTTTATGACACTTAATATGACATTAATATACTTTGATCTCTTGTATAATCTGACCTCCTGTTGTAATCTTCTCTTTTTCTGTTCCTCCTCCATTCTAGCGGCTTCTTCTTTTCGTTTTTGTTCTTCGAGTTTTTGTCTTCGTATCTCTTCAGCCAATTTTACTCTTTTCCGTCTAGCCTCTGCTCGCGCTTGCATTTTCAATAAAAATTTTGGTGGTTCCGGTGGGTGTCGAGTTACCGTTAAAATTTCGTCTCTTTTAAGAAGATGTATATAATTTATTATAAATCTGTTTATATATATATATATGATAATAATAATACATATTATTTATGAATAATATATTAATTATATATATAAGTTATATATAGATTATATATATAGAAAGTTAGCAAAAATTTAGTATTACCTGTAACCATTTTGTTGCATTAACTGAATCAATGTTCTTCTCGTACTTTGCCCACAATTAGTGAGGGTCTTTTTTGCTATGTCCATTGTCTCCCTATTTGCTATCAATATCGCCTCTTGCATCTGTTTCAATTTTAATTCTTCGATTATCTTGCTCTGTTCGGCTAATTTAGCTTTTTGCTTTTCTATTATCTGTTTCTGAGCATTTAACCGGCATTGTGCTGGTGGCTCGACAATTATACGTTTACTATAAGTACTTTTCTTCTTCATATTTGCATTGTTGGATTCTTTTACCATTAAGTTTTCATTTCTAATTCTTGGTTTTTGATTCTTTTTTATTACTTCTTTCTGATGCTTTATAATTGTATTTATAAACATTTCGATCTTTTGTTCTTCGGAAACTTCTTTTTCTTCTCTTTGCTTCTGAATGCAATTTGTTGCATCTTTTGCACAGGCTTTCCAAATATAGAAGTACTTTCTCATTATCTTTAATACTATATTCTGCTGAATTTTCACTTTAATGTCACGGAAACGTTGCTTTTCTATAGCATTTTTTTTTAAAATGTCGAAGTATTTCCTTAGAAGATATAAACGTTGCGTTTCTATTTCAGAATTAGTTTTATCTGTAATCGTTACTTTTATGCTTCCAATACATTGTACTTCGCAATCCCCTTCCTTCTGACTTTCTTCATTTTCGAGTTTTAACAAAATATCGTCGCTTTCCATTATTGTACTATTTTTACAAATAGGATCTATGTATATATTTTCATTACGATTGCTATTGATTTGATTTTTTTGCTCTTCTACTGTTATCTATGAAGAATTTGTTATACTTCTGATAAAATATAATTACTTTACGATTACTTGAAATTCATACTGACCTTATTCCTTAATTTCCTAGTTGTCCTCCAAAAATCTTCATCGTCCGATGATATAAAATTTCTCTTCGTACATGTGTAGGGTTTCGAGAATTTAGGTCGAGATTTACTTATTTCCATCTCAAATTTTTTCAGTTCTCTTTCAAAAAATCGTTTTTGTTTCTTCATATATAATTGTTTCGTTTCTTCTTGCGTTAATAATCTGCGAAGTAATATTTTGATACAAATTTTCATAATTTTTTATCTTCATTATTTTTAACTACATTATACTTTCTAGTTTCCGCCAAAACGGAGTCATTCACGGATGAAGCAGACAAGTCCTCTCGCAGTATGCGGTGTCTCGCATTCATTATTAAATTTGGATCGAGAAACGTTTTTTCTTCATCTTTCAACATTCGAAGTTTTTCTGATGGATGAAAAATGCTCACTTTCATCATCCGATCAATTAGATTCGTCACTTCATCCATATGTACCATGTTAACTATATCATACATAAGTAAAATAAGCGATGTTTGCGGCAAACAGTTCTAAAAAGTCATTCTAGGCTTTTGTTACGTTGTTGTTTCGTTGTTAAGGGAGTTATGAAAGTATCTCCTATACATGCGCGTGTAGTCTACATCCCCATTCATAAAGTAAGGGCTAGAAATAAACGTTGTTGGACGATGAAACGACTTCACCTTACATTGCTAAAAAAAGATTTATGTAATAACCTTATATGGTTATTTTCTATATTGTTGGAAATCTTTCAATGTATAAAATCATTTTTAGTTAAATGTATGTTATTAATAGATCAGTGGAGAATCAATCAATGTTAGCATTACTTTTACAAAGTGTACTTTAATATATCAGTATAACACAACATAATGAATACAAGTAAGTTAATTATTTATGTTTTATAAATTATATTTATTTAAAAAGTTCTAATAAAGTAGTTCTAATAAAATAGATGGACATATTATATAATGGGCAATTTAAGTTTTGATGTTAATTCCTATTTAAGCTCTAAACATCAAATAAAATTATTTTGGAATTATTGAAACCATTATTTTAAATATATTATTTTTAAAGTTATGCATTGTTAATTTTATCTGTCAATTCGAAAATTTCCCGCCATTTCAGTGGTTCTCAATCAGCATTATGAAAATGATAATGTCGATTGTTGACGAACCAGCGAACTGCAGCAGGTGCATCACAATTCACAAGGCAAAAAGTGCATCGACTTCGAAAACTTATACATTAAAGATGGTAAGTCTTCTGTTTTACAAAATCCAAAAGCTCAAGCATTATATCCTTACTTTTTCTCTATCGCAGACATTATCATACCTTTCCAGTGATCCCAAAATCCTACAAATGTAATCATTATATGATTAGAGAGAACGAATGTGTTTAATTTTTTTAATCCTTTAACAATAGAGCTTCTTGTAGATTCAAAGCATATTTTTAGCAGGTTACAGATGTTGTAACATTTTTGATACACAAGGAGAAATAAAATGGATCCAAGGGGCCCTCCTGAGGGGGCCCCTACTAATTCCTTTGAGATAAATAATATCGATAAAGTGTCTAACAATTTAGTAAATTGGTCTACAGATCATTCTTTCTCTTCACCAATGTGCGAACAACAAAAAAAAATGAATAATAATAAACTGTTATTTTTAACTGTAAGTAAATTTACAAAAGTATGCTTTCATAGATGATTTATCATGTGTGATATCTGAAATTATTTTGTTATTAGGTGGAATATGTGGAAGATCCATCACGGGAATATTCCCGTTTATTTCCAACATATGAACAAGTTTCCTTCTCTCCTAGACCATCGTCTCCACTTTCAGATTTTGAACATCGTGTTAGTCCTCTTGACCCCAATATGAGTTCAGCTGCTAGATATTCACCTACTCCTGTGCAACTTCCACCATCTCCGTTTCATAATTCTGTTGTTGTATTACAAGATTCTTCTTCTCCTTTAATATCCTCAACTGAATCAAATGAAAGAACAAATGTTAATTATGTTTCACAATTAACGCATCCAATTGGTACACAAAGTGTACAGCAGTCAGATAGTTCTACTGACTATGTTGCTAATGAAAATGAAGAACAACTAGTGTCTAGTGTTGGCAGTGAGTTGATTCTTATGCAAGGTAAATTTTATAAAATATTGTTCCTAAAAAAAAGTATGATTTTTTTAACATTATGGTGTATTATATGCATAAAACATATTTATAGAAACGAATTCCGGGCTAGAATCAGCAACAGCTCCATTAATGCTAACAGGAATGCCAAGTACAGATTTTACATTAAGTAGAGATTTTCTTGTTATGCAAGATGACCAAATGAATGTTATAAATTCGTTTAAAACACAAAACCTTGATATAGATGATTCTACACATCTTTCATCAAATGCAGAAAATTCAAATAAAGAAAATAATGCAGATTCTTCAGCAGCATCTAATGAACGGGAAATTAATGAAATTTTAATACCTACTGAAGAAAAAAAAGATTGTGAAAAAAAGAATATGAGACGTTCGAAACGTCGTATAAATGATAAAAAAAGTTTATGTATGTAATTTTATTGTTTCTTCATTTAATTAGTAATCTGCTGATAAACTAAGTTTATATTTTTTATAGGTTGCGATGAATGTGATGATGTGTGTACCGGTGATAATTGCACTTCACATAATGTATGTACAATAGCAGATCAACCAGTACCATCTCGTGCTATAGCAACACTGCCAGGATCATACCTTTCTATAAATAAATTATCCAATTCTGAAATTATATCAGGTGGATCAGATTATGGTGTGTTTGCAAAACGTTATATACAAAAACGTACTCAATTTGGACCTATAGAAGGTGTCTTATATCCTTATGATGGTACACCATTTAGAGATGAATTGCCATTGCTCTATGAAACTGAAAATAAAGAATTTTTAAAAGTAGATGTTTCAAATGAAAGTAGGTATTAATAATTTAAGAAATAATATTTAATAAGATAAAAATATCTAATTTAAAATATTTTATTATCAATGCAGATGCTTCAAATTGGATGCGCTTTGTTAGACCTGCATTAACATATAAAGATCAAAATTTGGTAATTTGTCAACAACGTGATGGAATAGTATTTTTAACTACAAGAAGTATTTTACCGAAGGAAGAATTAAAAGCTGGTCCTAGTACTGACTATGCAATACGTAGAAATTTAATACCACTCAAATCTACACAGGAAACGAAGGATGATAAAGGTATATAAGGTTTATAAAATATTTCAGTTTATGTTTATATTTATATTTATGCAATTCTCGATTACAGAGCACAAAAATCAAATATCTAGTTGGTCACGGCTAGATGATAATCATTCCCGGCGTATGAAAGTATTTCGCGGAAGAAATTTGAAAGAGAAAGAAAATTCAAGACAAAATAATTCTAAGGAATGGAAATGTTCTGTTTGTGGTTTAATTTTTCGAAAATCACTTTTGCTTAACTTACACTCTCTTGTTCATGGTTCTGATAAAATAAAAACTAAAATTCAATCTACAGTTTGTCCGCAATGTGGACTGCAATTTCAAAAACAAAAAGAATTGATCAATCACATTTCACAACATGGGAGATTATCTTTGCAAAAAGCAAAAAGATTGACTTCTTTGTCTACATATAAGTGTTCAATGTGCTATAAACGTTTTGCGACAAAAGTACGTTTACAGCAGCACTGCTTAGTGCATGGTGCTGAAGACCAAAAACCACTGCCATGTAATATTTGCTTCAAAAGATTCATGAATAATTCGGCACTCTCTTGTCACTTGAAAACACATAGAGGTGAATTACTGTATTAAATAATTTTAATTTTATTTGGGAAAGAGTTTCTCAAGTTGCTTATATCGTTCTTTTTTTGTTATTCAGAAAATAAACAAGTATTTGAGTGTCCAATGTGCCGACAACTATTTAATCAAAGCATAACATTAAAAGATCATATTGAAACTCATAAAAATGAAGATGGCACATTTAGCTGTCCTTACTGCCAAAGAATATTTATCAAATATTCGGTTATTCGTAAACATATTAGAGCACATCATTGTGAAAGAAAACACAAATGTCAAATTTGTGCAAAACGATTTGCTACAGTAGATAAATTACAGATGCATCTGCTAAAACATTCCGATCATAGGTATAGTAAGATTTATACTTACAAGGTACACAAAATCAGGTAATGTGTATTATAACATGGAATTTCTTTTTCTTTTTGTAGAGAATTTCACTGTGCAAATTGTGGTAAACAATTTAAGAGAAAAGACAAATTAAAAGAACATATGACTAAATTACATAATTCACAGACAGCCACTGAAGAACAAATGTCGCAAGTTACACAAACTAAAAAATTTGTTCCAAAGGTATTTTTTTACTTACTCTAAGAATTATCTAATAAGAACGATATTTACTAGTATAATTTATATATTGTTACCAGGTAAACCCTAATGATTACAATCGTTTCATTTATAAATGTCACCAATGTTTGGTGGGTTTTAAACGAAGAGGAATGCTTGTAAATCATTTGGCAAAAAGACATCCAGATGTTGCGCCAGAATCTGTACCAGAGTTAAACTTACCAATTTTACGTCAAACGAGAGATTATTATTGTCAATATTGCGATAAGGTATGCACTTTATTCATTGACAAAATAAATTGAGCTATTTATTTCATATGATTTTTATATTTCTTTGCTTTACAGGTCTATAAAAGCAGCAGTAAACGTAAAGCACATATCATGAAAAATCATCCAGGAGCTGCTTTACCGCCGAGCAACCGACAAAAGGAGTCGGATTACTCCGATTTACCGAATCCAACATTTAGTCAAACTGTCGGTAGCATTACTACTACACCACAGGGTTGTCAATGGTGTCATAAACAATATGCTAGTAAAGTAAGTTGTAAAAATCTGTAGTTTTACTTATAACAAATTAAAAATCTTTTTAAGAAATTTATTTATTTTTATAAGGCAAAACTTTTACAACATCAACGAAAGAAACACCCAAATTTAATGGAACCGGCTGATCAAGTACCGCGTTCACGTAATCGACAGCCACAGAATCAAAATCAGCCCCCAGTACTTATTGAAGATCACTTTGTATTGTCCGATTATATTCAGACATGTGAAACAAATTCAGATTTTTTTAAACCAAGAATAATCAAAATATCTGATGATGTTGATCTAATAGGCAATGGATTAGAGATAGTTGGGCAACAATTTGTTCGTATGCGTGACATACGCTGAAAAGATCTGTGGCAACCTCAATGAGAGGTTTTGTCAATTTAATGAGATATGAATCTCATGAGTTTGTGCACAGTAAAGAAACACTGTGTTTTTTGCTGCTGTTGCCAAATAAGGGCATTGATGCCCAGGAGGATTAATTGATTCTCCGCTGGAAAGTATTTGGAGCACAGCTTGGCTAGCGTTGGTGCGAAACACTGAACGCTATTTTGTTGATTGTATGGTTGACAATGATGTCGTGACCGTAATTCGGTCGTAACTTTGAATAAATTTGTTGAAACGGAGCACGCACTATTTTACGAATACTTTGAGCTCCAGGGCGAAAACATGGAGGAAGATTTAAATGTTAACACACAATGGGAAACACAAACATGGAGACTTAAGACTTAAACACAATGGGAAACATGTTAGTTATTGAGGTCTTTGCTCAAGGTATTATGAGTACAGAGCACAAACAGGTAGAACGAGTCCTCTTATTGTCGGTACATCACTGACATTAATTCTAGTAGTTTCTTTTAAAATTTCGAAAAAGCTTCAATTCGATGTGATTCAATTATGGATGTTAGAGTGATCGAATTTGAGCTTCAAGTTTAAAGTGAAATTTAAACGCAGCTGAAATTTGGAAAATTCGATGAATCTTAGATCAGTGTAATCTCGTCTATACTATGTGATTTTTTTTTTATAGACCTGATCGTAGTGTCTACATGTTACATCTGACTTTGATGATAAAACAATTGTCTGTAGATTACACAAAATGTTGTAGTCTGTAAAGAATCGCCCGATCACTTTTACTCTTTCTCGTAATTTATAACATTCTGTCATAATTACTACCGATTCTCGTTTAGAAAAAGATATCTGTGTTTCCAGTCTAGATTTTCGATCAATCGGATTTCTTTTTCGCGCGAACCTTTCAGAATTACTAGTTTCACTAAGAAAGTTTAGTGTGACAATTTTTGCATCCATCATACTCATCGAATTGAAATATCTGATTGAAATTGAAGGTATTAATAGTTACCTAGACAAGAAAACTTTTGTCTTTGTGATTTTATGATGCGTGTAAAATTGATAGCGTTGCAAATTATCCATGTGCACTTTGCTAGTTTATCAAATTATAACAGTGAAATACTATTAGCATTCCAAACCATAATTTTCTAAATGTAATTTCATATATCATAAATTGGCAAGAGAATTAAAAATTTGTTTTACATGCATTATATGTGCATAATATGATAAGTATTATGGAAAAACAAAGACAAAAGAATGCATGTTTGTTAATGTTGTTGAGTACATGGAGAACTGTATTGTAACGTGACTTAAATAAAGTTACCCGATGACTGATCTATGTACGATTTATTGTACCGCAAAATCGGATCCTATAATTCTTTACTCGACATGCTACAAGAATATCCTATATTTTTCTCTTTATTTAAAACTATTGTATTACTAGTTAATACTGTGACACATCAAATGAGTTCATATTAACAGTTAGCAAAAAACAATACCCAATAAATTTATTTCTTTTCATAGTTTGAAATCGTTTTACTTCTTTCTTGACATTTTGTTTTTAAACTTCTCAGTAACGATGGCCAGAGGGCCAACTGCATCGGACTTAAGAACAACGGCATTAGATGCGATCGTACCCACACTAGCCCCTTTTTGTGATTGAGCCATTTCATACAATTCTTTTTGCATTACCGCCAAAGAAACCTTGTTCGCTGAGAAAAAATCTTGCATAGAAATCAGTTCTCCAGACATTCTTCTTGGAGTTTCCAAGTAATCTGATTTAAACGAATCTCTTGCTGCTATCCTCGTTCCTCTTCTTTTTGAAAAATAAATCGTAGACAAGGAATATTTCCTCTTTGGTAAATGTGATGCGGCCATTTCCTGATTTCTGCATTGTATTTTTTGTATGATGCAATTTAATCCTTGTTTTATTATAATCGATGTCACGTTCAATAGGGAGTATGTGCAACAGCAACCGATCAGCAAAAATATAAAGTTAATGAAACGATACCTGTGTACGAAGAAATTATGTATCAATACTGCAGTATATATTATTGAACAAGATTTCGTGGGACGTACCAATGAATGTAAGGATAATACGAGTTTTGTGTACTAACGAAGTCTCCGAAACCAATAGTTGCGAAACTAACGAAACAAAAGTAGAGAGCGTCGAAGTATTCCCAATGTTCGAACTGAACGTAAACCGCCGCAGCGCAGCAAGCTATCATACAACACACTAATAATAAAAATAGCATAACCCAATATACGCTTGGTTTCCATTCATCGACATCTAAATGATCGTCATCATCTTCAAGTATGTCTGGTAAAGATTTTTCATTTTTGGACGATCCGAACGAACGTCGAGATATTGATGAATTTTTCCGAATATGCCTTTTTAAACGATGGATATGTATCACTCTCAAAATCCAAGCAAGGAAAGTGATGATCCTTTCAAGAAACAAGTTGAAGAATAAAATTCCACCTGTGTTATAAAAAAGATAATGAGAAAAATTATTAAACGTTTATCTTTAATGGTTAAACTATTGCATTACCGGAACAACCAAGAAGGCCATACAGAACAGCAACTACCTTACCCGCTCTCGTTTGCGGTGTGGTATTTCCATATCCTGAAAAACAAATTAATAATAATAACATCCACAATTTATTTCGAAACTGAAATGAACATATACAAACGTAATACAAAGTACCGATTACACAGTACCGAAGAGAATAACTGCAAGACTAGGTCGCAAGATATTAACATTCTGGAATTCACCGGCACATTCTTATGTGTGCTGCGGACGACGACCCTTACCCCTTTATTCAATGCTTTTATGACCAAGTTATGACGCGATAATACAGTCGTCAATAAATTGACTTTTAAGTGAATAATCAGAAAATGATCAAACGTGCAAACAAAATATATAGGGCGAATATGGTAAATTATTTCGTAATTACTGATACACTTGTGTCTACAGTCTTTCGAAAAAGAATACAAATGGAAGAAAAGTATAACTGAGATAAAGACCAGCATATGTGCCTGGCGTTCCACTGACCTATTATTACGGTTCAGTTACACTATAAGATGAAATGTTTAGAGTTCCAAATAGGTCATGATATATTTCTTACCAATTGTAGAAACTATGGTACCCACGAAGTGAAAGCTGCCAAGAAAATCCCATCGTCGGCTTTTGTTGATGACACCGGAGAATGAAGCGTTTCCATATGCGTATAATAACTCATCTAGTCTTTGGAGAGCAATTGGACTACCTTGCAAATGATACTTTCGAAAACTATGATAAACGCGCCAAAATTCTGCAGTCTATATAGTGAGCAGAAGTTGAACATACAAGTATTAACTTTTACTTCGATATTTATTTAAATTGAAAAATAGTAATAGAACATAGCAACCTAGACTAAAAAGGTAATTTAAAATGTAGATAAAAAAGAACAACCAAAAGATAAAAAATGGTTTCATACCTGTTGCACTTCAAGATCAGCTTCTAGTTGTTGAAAGATTGCAGCGCCAGCTAACATGTACACTGTCAGAGCGGCGAAATGAAGGATGAATCTTGCGTTGTCCTCTCCGAGGCCACCGGGGAGACACATCACCGACAATTCTCATCTCTCCAGATACAAGAGACTGGTTGCAATCCCCACTTTTGCCTTTCATCTGGGTTGGCGCAAACTCAGCGACGAACATCCACGAAAATCCGCAGATGCATTGTCAACGAACATTATCAAGATACATCATTTAAAATCTATCGCGACTCAGAATTTTATGATTCTTCAAGGTATATTTTTAATTCGATTACTTCTTTGTATTTATTTTTTTAATTACCTGTATTTGCTTTAACATAGTGTTAGCATTTGGCATATCAAAATTTTATTCGGATGACATGTTGCAAAAGTTTGGTCGTATTATTTGAAAGATGTACAATATTGTATGTTACGTAATTTTGCATTGTAAAATTGCAGGGCTACATGATTTATAAAACTATGTTGCAGAAAATATAAGGCAGTAGCATATATCGCTAGTGAAAAAATCCTATGAAAGGAAGATTCTTTGACTAAAGATAGAAACCAAGTCACTCTACAAATGGGTTTCTTGCGCATAAGGATGTAGCGTAAACTTTGTACATGATTATTTCGTGGTCTCCGTAATTCTTTGAACTGCGTCCTTAAATACGCAACATTTATGTCGTGTTATCCATTTTTTTTAATAACAGTATGTGTTACAGACCAGCCGTTTACTAGTTTTTAAAGGATGGGATTTTTGGGATAGGAAAAAATAAATCATTGTAAATTTATAATAAAAATAAAGTTTGTTAATTTATGTTGGCAACCTAACGACTCTACAATGTTCATATAAATACTGTAAACTAGGCACATTGATTCTTACATCGAAATAGTTGTAGGTACATACGTAAAATTCATAACATTCGCATTAAACACTATAATACTATTAAATACGATATCTGAATTAACAGATTTCGCAACGGCTACACTATAGTTTAATTAATCGCGCTTACAGTACGATTATCAATGCCTCGTTTGTGGACCTTCTTCCAATTTCCGCCAAACAACCTACGTAGAACACACATTAATAGTAGTAATAATAAAGTTAATTTTTAGTTTCTCCCGAAATGGAACCTTATGTCCAAATACCAACTTACATTGCACATTTCTCTAACCAATGCCTTTTCCCCGTCGTGACCGCCTTCTCGTTCTAGTTGTTCTCTAACTTCGAGAACCTGAAGAGCTCGTACCACTGCTTCTGGTCGACCTCCTATGTGAGGATTTTCGCCTGGGCTGTTTTGACTTTCCCAGGTTTCACCAGGTGGTACTTCCCAACCCTGCGCTCTTGCTTGTAAAAGACTCTTATCTTCTTCAAGCTGCTTTACCCGTTGTTCTAAACTCCTTACGTACTGCATAGTTTGGTCTGCAATACAAATTTGAAAAACTGATCAAAATTATTCGCATAAAAGTATATCTTCTGTTAAGAATTAACGTAACAAACATGATAACTGTACCATTAAACGTAGATGCATGCCTTGGTCTCGGGGGCGCGGTTTCTTCGGCATTCGTACTTGAACTTGAACCATCTCCATCATCTCTTTGACCACCTCCTCTCTCTTCATCCAAATAAAGGCAAAGTTCCTTTAGCTCTAAATTATCTTTGATCAACTCTTGCTGTTTGTTGTCCAATTGACGCAATTTATTCTGATAAGCGGATACTTCCTGACGCATAACACTCGCCGTATATCTTCCGAATCTTTGCCATTCCCTCGCTAACTTTCGACCCTTCTGTCGATCATCGTCCAGAAAGCAACAAAGATCTCGCAGCTCTTGATTATCATCGCTTAATCTTTGGTTTGCTTCTTTCAGTGCCCGAAGCTCGCTAAGCTGAAATAGGAATGCGTGAGTCACCGATATTCGCACGCATTTTTGTCATAAATTGAAATCCTACCGAATTAGGTATAGGGTAAAAATAAATTTTATGAACAATTCGAAGTTTCTAAAATATGCATTTATTCTTGAGTGATAATTTTTTAACGAAGAAGAATTCGATCATAGTGGAGATTGTTTGCGGCTGGAATCATATGTGCGTGACTGGTTCAAATTACGATGGTGGACCCGACCCGTGTGTGACCTAAAAGAACCTCAAGAACTTCCGTGTGATGTGCTTAAAATCGGTGATCGTATCTTCTTCGCGAAACGAAATAATAAAACAGAGATATCGTGATGTTAGTAGAAAAGAAGGTTACAATTATTACTTTTACTCTTCCTCTCGTTTATTCTTCCTCTGTATGACGTACAAACTTTCGCTTATTATACTACGTAAGATTAAATCTATTTGATTAAAAAACAGGTGAGAAACTAGTGAAACTCACCAAGCTTTGTATCTGTCGATTCTGCTCGGCGGCGAGCCTTGCGATATCGCTCTCGGTCTTCCGAACAAATTTGAGCATCTCCACAGGACCGAGCCTTAGAAACTCGTCGTCGGTGATCCTTTGTCTAAGCGGCGGTGTCTGTGCAGTGTTTACCGTGGGATATTGACCGTTAGGTGGCAGGTACTGACCTTGGCCGACCTTGGCCTGAAGGTAGCTATGAGGCTGTGTTTTAGGGACGGATGCAGTCAAAGTGTTTCCGCCTTGAGGATGATGTCGATGCTCTATCCTCGGTGAATATTTACTCTGCACATCCTTCTGTTGCGGCACAGGTCGTGATTGGACGGGTTGATGATGATTCAAGGTCGCGACGGGACCTTGACCAGTGGTAGACACCGAGGTTGGCACAGAAGGGCCTGTACCAAAATGAGGATGATTCTTGAGGATACCGCTGGTTGGCTGCGGTGGTGGCTGATATCGCGGTGGCACTTGCTCCACTGTCGACTTGATCACGTGCGAAGGATGCTGCTGCTGCTGCGGCTGGGACTTACTCTTATTGGACATCGCGGCTAATTTAGCTCCAGGCTGCGCTGTGTCCCATTTCAGAAAGTCCACCGTGACTTCTTCGTGTCGACCTGCCTCGTTCGACCCGCTAAAATCTGGGTCGCCGTACGGTCTCTCTTTCTCTTGCTCTCCTGCTCTCTCTCTTCAGATCGGATATACTACTTAAGAGGTGGCCCACGCGATATGTGTCTTACCTCCGCGAGTCTTACCTTACCGTCTATCAAACTTCTCCCCTTTTCCTTTTCTTTCTCTTGCTAAGATTTCTCTTCGTATCACTGTCACCTTATAAATTTCTCTAAACTTCCCTTTTATCCAATATTTTACACGCCTTGTCCTCCGCGGTGTCTTGTATATCGTTCAGTGCAACATACTCTACCACTTTTAATGAAATTGTAATTACGAGAATTCGAACAATCCTGACAAGATCTTTAGAGTTAAATTATCTGAACACATCGAACGAATCCCGTATTCGTGTTCGCGAACAACCTTGGCTTCGTCTCGGTATTAAAGAGTCGACGTCCTCGGTTTATGCTGTAACTCCGAACGATCGCGTGGTATACTCACGTTCCAGCTGTTAACAATCGGATTAAAGCACGGAAGCATAGTTTTGCGAAAGACTAGGATAAATATTGGCCGCATGGACACTTATTTTCGTTACGAAATCCTGAGCATACTAGCGATATTGCACTCCCGAGAGCTAATGCGCTCAGCCGGGCCCCCGTTTTTCTCGCTGCGGGGCCGCCGCATTTCACAAGGCGCAGTGCCGTAACATCGAGTGGGGCATTCCAGTGAAACCTTGTCGTCCGTGGCCACAGAACTGTGGCACTGTACAACGACAGAAATAAACTTTCTTACACATCTCTCTGGATTGTTAATTGATTCAGGTTACTACGTGTTGTTGCAACTACCTCTCTCTCTTTCTTTCCTTCTTTTACATATACTCGATGGTTTCTAATATCCGGAAAAGAATATAATAATTCAATCGCCCAATGTTACGCTACTCATATCTCTATTCAATTATTTTTCATAAATGCCAGTTTGCGGAAGTGTATTTGCGTTAAACCACACAATCTTATTAAATAGCGGCACTTTATCTTGTTTACCGATATCAGAGATCAATGTTAATAATCTTGAGCGAAAATCGCGTACCAACAATATGGCTACGATCGCAGACCTGCGATTTAAGAAATGATTGCGGACGACGCCAAGGCTTTAAGGTTTAGACGCGGGAACGTGGAGGCAATCGCTGATTGGACCAACTTCTTTCTTGAAGGGGGGAGTTAACAGCACGTTTTACTCGTGGGAAGTACTTAGAAAGGAACAGCATCTTAAAGTGTATGAGGATCTGTTCGGTGCAGAGATTTCTCAAAGCCTTGATTCATCCCTTCATTTTAAAATGAGATTCTTCCATTATAAAAAAAATGTAAGTAAAAGATAATTTTCGATTACTTACTCAAATTCTATGATAATTTAACGTATACAATTGCCTGTATACATATACATATATGTTAATATTAAACAAATTATAATTAAAGACATAATAAACAAGAAGCCATTCTGATGCTAGCTACAGTCTTTTTGTATTCGTCATAGAACATAAATTACACTGTCAGCAAGATACATATTATCGAATATATATTTTAACAATATATTAACAATAAATTCCACTTCGTGTGCTCACAAATTCGTAAAGTCCTCGCTGTTATGGGGGATGCTTTTTCGTAAACTAAGGCATGTACATCGTGCGTGTGCATGTCCGTGAGCGTCTACGGATGGTCAGTAGTATGTTTTCTTATGTATGTCCATGTGTGCTAACGAGTAGTTCTTGATGTGTTTGCATAAATTAATTGAATCGAAAAAAATTCATTTTTCGATTATTTTCGATTAGTTTCAGGAAAACAATTGAAAGTAATTCATCTCAGGAATCAGACTTTTCAGCTTAGATTTTGAACAAACATGGAAAAACATGGTGAAACTATCAATTAATTTCTTTATTTAAAATTTAATTGTGTCTATACATTTACAATTATATACATTTTGTTTATAAAATAAACAAACAGTATATGGGATGATGATAGAGTCTGATTGAGGAAATTATTTTTCGCGTAATTATCTTCTTCTAAATAGTGATCTTTGGATTATTGAACTAAGAATTATGCAATACTCGCAACGCAGTAATAGGTTTTACATATTTTACAGTGAAATTTTCCTAAAATAGATTATAATTATAAGATCTAATAGATTATAATGAATTCATTATAAGATCTTTGCTGACTTTTGCTGTTCCTAAACAAAATACTTATAATACACGTTATAACTCTGATTACTGAATCAGTGATAAAGGCATTGTAGATACCGTAAAATGTCAACACTTTATGCGTATGACAGAACTGAATATTAAAATTGTAGTATATATTAAATAACAATTTACCAAAGAAATTGACGCATCTCAGAATTAAATCTGCTGGTTCCTGGTCGATGTTAGGAATGTTAAATATGAACTAATATTTAATACCTTATAAACACTAACAAAGGTTCACAATGATCTACTATTACATAACTTTAGCCAGCTTTAGCAAACAAAACATTTTCTTACCGTGCTTATATTACTTTAAACTTAGACACTCTGAGATTGGGAAGTGAGGTTAATTGCTTACGTGTCACGAAGTAAGGTATGACGCTATTTTTTTTATGGTATAAATTACATAGAAATATGTAATTTTTGCGCATATAAAATATCACGCTAAAGTTCTTTTTTGTTTATATGAATTGTATATATTTGTATATACCGTATTTTTGGATAAATATTTCAGATAAATTATGTAAGCTGGAAACAGATTTAATATATGATATGGAATAGATATAGATTTTCGTATCTAATGTCACATCTTAATTATGAATAAATTGAAGATGAATTAATGATAAACTGTTTAAAAATGACTAGTTAGTGAATCAATATTGTTGTTTTATATCTAATCCCATTAACATATATTTGGTTCTATATGTGTGAATGATAGATTTATTCTAATATATTAGGAGCACTATAATTGTAGAATAATGCATTAAAAATAACAGAAAAGCAGAGTGACACTATGGCAAACAAATCCTGGAATGTATTGGTAACAGGGGGTGCTGGGTACATTGGTTCTCATACAGTATTGGAACTATTGCAAGCAAATTTTGAGGTGGTGGTTATAGACAACTTTAGTAATGCTTATAAAGGTGAGAAATAATGAATCAAGTTAAAGAATAATGATTATTTCTTATAAACTATTGCTATGAAACAATAAGTAATGTTTTATAGTATTAGTTAATATGGAAATAATGATTTGTCAAATTATTAATTGAGTAATATAATTTATTAATAGTATTTGAGGGAGTTAATGATAATGTACATATAACATAGTATAAGATGTAATGATAATAACAAGTATAGGATGTATAATATTTTTTGTATATTTATAACTACATAATTAATATTGATAATATACATTTCTATTTTTTTTAACTAGATTTTAATAAAGATGATTTAATATAATGGTATATAATACATATTTGCGATTTTTGTACATAGGTAATGATAATATAAAACCAGAATGTCTACTAAGAGTCGAAAAATTAACAAATAAAACAGTTACATTTATTCAATGTGATGTAACCAATTGGAATGAATTAAAGGATGTATTTAAGAAGGTATGATTATCAATATTATCAAATATAAATGGATCATAAAAGTGAATAATTAAAATAATTTTATTTTAGCATGAGTTTCATTCTGTCATACATTTTGCTGCATTAAAAGCAGTAGGTGAATCTTGCGAAAAGCCATTAGAATATTATAAGACAAATGTTTGTGGGACACTAAACTTATTAAGCGTTATGAGAGACTTCAATGTAAAGCGTTTTATTTATTCAAGTAGTGCTACAGTTTATGGTATCCCTGAAAAGTTACCATTAGTTGAGAATATGAAAACTGGTGATTGTACCAATCCTTATGGAAAAACAAAATATATGGTTGAAGAAGTTTTGAAAGATTTGTGTACTTCAGATAAGGTGTCAAATTTGTCTACATCTTTGGTTTTTTCAATTAAAATACAATTATATATTCATTATTAAAAGTTTTCAGGAATGGTCCGTTATATCATTAAGATATTTTAATCCAGTTGGAGCTCATTCTTCTGGACAAATTGGAGAAGATCCTAATGGAGTGCCAAATAATTTAATGCCATACATTGCTCAAGTATCTGTAGGCAAAAGGGAATTTTTATATGTTTACGGCAATGACTATGATACTCATGATGGAACAGGTAAGTAGTAAAGTACAAAATATTTGTATAATATTTATTTCGCATAGGTAACTATTTTATACATGTTAAAACCATTTATGATAATTAATAATTCACTTGTAGGTGTACGAGATTATATTCACATTACAGATTTAGCTGTAGGTCATGTAAAAGCAATGATTTACCAAAAAATTCGTAACTCTACTGGGTTTAAAGTATTTAATTTAGGTACTGGAAAAGGGTATTCTGTATTAGAAGTCATACGAGCATTTGAAAAAGCATCGGGACAAAAAATACCATATAAGATAGTTGAACGCAGAACTGGAGATATATCTGCTAGTTATGCAGATGCTAGTTTAGCAAACAAAGAACTAAATTGGCAAGCTACTAAAAACATAGATGATATGTGTAAGTTATTGTTTCACTAATGCATTAAAAACAACTGCTTATGCAGTAATTAATAAATATTTTATAATTAATTACTTTAATGTACTATTATTATTATTATTATTATTATTATTGTTATTATTATTATTATAATTATTATTACTATAGGTTTAGATACGTGGAAGTGGCAACAAAATAATCCAGATGGTTATAAATGCTAATAACAATTGTTGGGATATCTGTTATGAAAGATATTAAATATTTTAAGTAGAACATTTCATTTACATATCCAATTACTTTAAACATAAGCCATGGTGGTGCCTGATTACCAAAGTCTAAACCAAAGTCAAAAATAAATGTGGTATAAAAATTATTTATATAAACATAAATTATTGTGCCATAGAATATACATATATTCCCATAATTGTAAAATGACTGCCTATTAATAAAATAATATGTATTGAAATGTTAAAATATTCCTGAAATACATACATTATCAAAATAAACGATTTATTGGTAATCGACAAGTGCAATTACTATATTACCGACACTAATGTTTTGATTAGAAGATGATAGGTAGCGCAATGCAATAGCTAATTCTCCATAACTTACTTACGTTGGGGAATTATACGTCTTTTTGGCGTAAGAGAGGTTATATACATACCATTCTTTGTTAGAAAAATAATTATTTATTGTGACAATGACATCCGTCAAAGATTCGTTAAAAGAAGACGTTCAAATTGAACAATCTTTTATGGAAAATTCAGCAGATCACAACTCAAGATGCGGATCGCCAAAACGAGGAACTACGCTTTCGACAAGCACAAGTAGCTTCGAAGCATTGGATCCGCATGATCCAAATCTTAGTCGTTTAGCTAATACGATGTTTCAAAAAACTGGTGAATATTTACAAGAGGAACTCACTTCCACTCATGCTGACTATCGTTTACTAGAACGATTAAACAAAGAAACTATTGCGAAATATACCGAACTAAAAACAATATCGTCTAGTGTAGCTCAATCTTTGGATTCTTTAAACGAGAAATATAAAAAATTGCAACCAATTTTAGATAACATCAATGAAATTGATGATAGTGTAACTAAACTAGAACAAGCTGCATATAAATTGGCAGCATATTCGAAACGATTAGAAGCAAAATTTAAGGACATTGAAAAAGATACAAAAAGCAAGTAGAACTGTAATAGATTAAGCTAAAACATTTAAATTCGAATATTGTATTATTTATTGTCCAAATAAGAAATATATTAATAGAATTAAGATTACATTTTCTGTTATGATAAAAGTAAGAAATAAGAAAAAACAACCATTAATTTTTATTTTTGTAATTAACTATACTAGAATACAGTCTCACACACATACATTTCTTTATGAAGGATTGTAAAAATGTATTGTGTGTTCTTTTTCTTACATTATATCACATAATATATTTCTAATTATATTGTATTCTACCTATGAATCTATGTATTATTTTCTATATGAAAAATATAAGACCCAATTATAGAAGTTGCTAAAAAATAATAAATATAAAGTAATTTGTAACATAAATAGAAGCAAAAAATAAATATTCTTATATGTAACAAAAAATATAACTACAATATATCAATACATAATGCTTTCAAAAATAAGAATCTCCATTAGCATACAATCTACTGATTGAAATTTGCTCGAATTGCACATAATATAAATCTGTTCTTATAATTGTATATCAGACAGGCATGGATGTATATTTAATATTACAACAGCACATTATTTTCCAATACAAATTTTGTTTAGATAATAATTGAATGTATTACTGAAATATATGGAAAGCATAATCAAGTAATACATGCAGCATATTTATATCATTTACTAATCGAAATTCCTATTTTACTTTAAATATTAATATTGAATGTGTTAATTTTTAAAATTTATGTTGTTTATGTTTATGTCAATTAAATCATTTAATCAATTAAAATTATTTATTATTAAAACAATAACCATGCTGTGAAATATAAAGTACGAGTCTCTTCTAAAAATGTGTTACAATATTGAATTTTTTTTTAAAATCGAAATTATAATCAACAATTTTGTTATGCCTCAGAGCTGAATTGCTTGTTATTGACATTATTTGTGACATTTAACAATCTAGAAAATTTCCAGCCATCAATAATTCTAATGCAATTTCAGGTGCAATAGGGAATTCTGGTATTTCTGTGCTACTATTTGTATAGCGTACTTTGTAAGTAAAATACATGCAAACTTTTTGCAATACATGAGATCTGTAAACAGAAGTTTAATTAAGAATATAATTAAGTTTTATTAAAAGCAGAATTAAAAAATACTTACGGAATTTCTCGAAAGTTTACTTCATTAGCTTCATTTTCTGCGAATTGTCCAGGGCCACTTAGCATAGCTTTTATTGTTCCACTAGTTAAAGCATGTTCACGTTTAACAATAAATTCATGTCCATCACTGCTGACAAGTTTTACATACATTGCATTTGGTCCTTCACAACCTCCATATACAAGTCCACTTTCTTGCTAAAAGTTTATCCCATTACTTGCACATTATGCTGTATATTCATATTTATATGACGTAGTTAGTATTTTAACTACCGTACAACTACCCTACTGTTAGTAACAAAAGGCAAGGAATATAAAAAACACAAAAAGATCATTAAGCAGCAAAATTTTAATTTGCAGAAATAGGTACCGCATGCAGATCAATAGATGAAGTGCCTTCTTCTTCCTCTGCTTTATCGATATTTTCTTCCTCATTGGGCTTGATCCAAAGAAAAATTAGCATTAATCAACAAATTGTTTACCACAAATTTCCTGTTTTCCAATTAGAAGAATTAATCTAGCAGTTATGATAGCAGCCCAATTGTAACAGCACATACGTTTCTTTCAAATACACTTCACATATCCCAACTGTCATGAAAAAATTTGGCATGCATAATATTTTGAATAAAACATACCTTATCAACTTGGGTGTTCACATCATTTGACATGTTTGTATTTTATAAGATGTTTATCCTCCTAAGAACAGCAAATGATTAGCTAATATCAAATAATTAATTAGGTACTTTCATAAAAAATAGAATATATACTTCAAAACATTTTCTTTTAAATTGATATCTATCTTCGTTTACAATGGAATGTAATTTGTTATAATCTATAAAACATATATTTATTTAGGTTGATTAAGGTTTTTGCTGCATCAGTTTATACAAAGAATAAAATTGAATTGATTATTGTAACATAATATTTCATTTCAAGCTCAATATGATGAACCAGTAACATAAAGAATATATTATCAAGAGTACATTAAAAAATTGGCATCAAAAAGGAATCAAATATAAAATAAAAAATAAGTCATTGTTATAGTATTCAGGCCATACATTACATTCACAATTATATTTTCGGGACGAAAAGATTTATCATCGCATTTCACTTCAGAACAATTAATCGTACATACCTCGATGAAAAAGAAAATTGTACAAATTCAGACTTTTTGATCACAACAAAGTTTCTTAATAACGCAATGGCAATTAATATGGCCGCTGGTGATATATAGTTCTCGATAAATCGAAACCAGAGATTCTAAACTACTTCTGCATCTTCAATCTTCAGTTTTATTTATTCTACGATTGGACGAAGAAAAATTGGCGCGTAAAAACCAATAAAATATATTGTTTTAATATGAAACCTTACTTTTATATAATTTATTAATGTGAATACTATAGTTTAAAAAGAACAATTTATCTCTTTCAATTTATCTCTTGTAACTTCATTCTAACCTTTCTAAATTTCATACGATGGAAACTGTAAAAGCTAGGTAACTTAAAATTTTATTTATTATTATGTTTTCATACTATTTTATACATGTATAAATGTAATAAAATATTAAATTAATCTTTTGCCTGTTGTATTTTGATTTTTATTTCTATAGCTATTCAAGAACAATGGAAGAAGTACAAGAAAGTTTAAAATTAGCTGTTATTAATGAGTCTGATCTGCTAAATGTAACACAAATTTTATATTCTGCAAAAGAACATAATATGCAAGAACACATTAAACTCTTAGAACTTGATGAAAATTTAATAGAAGCAGTAAACACTGGGGACAGGTATACAATCATTTAAATTTATATGTATTTTATTAATTTATGCAACATTCTAGTTTAACGTTCCAGGGTACTGAAGAAGATTCTGTGGTATTATGCACAAAAGATCGAACATATGATATTAGTGAGGCAGAAACATCTAATTCTTATTTGTTAGTACCAAAATTAAATTTATCTCAACAGACAAATGTGGATACAAACCGAATAATAAAAGCTTATAATATTTGTGGGATTTTTCATACATACTATGAGGTATGTAAGATTGATGTAAATCAATACAGTAAGAAAGTATAAATTTTTCTATATGTGAATATATGTATAAAATATCGAAGGTAAAGGAGTGTAGACCTAAATTGGAAAAATTACTTAATATTCTTGAGCCCACATCTTTTAAAGGAATAGAGTATGAATCATCGATATCTCACGAACTTTTATATGATTGGCATAGATTAAAAAACGAAATACAAGCCAGTGAAGCTGAACTAATCCAAGCTTTAAATAATTATTTAATAACCAATATTGATGGTAGTATATTTTTTATAAAAATTATTATCACATACTTGATATTAAGTAACGATATTAATTAACTATACTAATATTAATATTAAATAATTATATTATTTCTTGTTTCTTGGTCTCAAGGTTATTTCCGTCTTATATCATTTGAATTTGAGGTCCGAAGTTTAACACTTATGTTAGATCTTTTTGAGGAAAATAGTTGGGAAATAGATGAAGTAGACAAAGAAATTACATATGAATTTTTGAAAGAATTTATTTACAAACCAGTTTTTAATACTTTGTTTACAAAATATACAGAAATAAGTGAAAAATTAAGGAAAGATGGAACACCATTATATAAGTATAGACAACTTATACAGAAATCTTTCTAATATACATAATGTATTTTATAATTTTAACTAGTTATAATAAGTAACAATATTATAGATATAATGAAGAAAAATGTTGCAAAACTTTAGCAAAAGTACTGTTTGTTGCTTCTCCAGTAACTGAATACAAACAATTCATGAAATCATGGAATATTGGTACCCCAGAAAGTAAATACAAATTTTTATAAAAAGAATTGCAATATACATATGTTACTTATAATAGAAATAGCTGCTTATATTATATTTCTTTGTATGTAGAAATAGAACCAAAAGAAGAATATCTATATGGAATTGCAATTATTAAGTGGAATAATTTAATGGAAAAAGAAATAATATCTTTCCCAGAAACTGATTTGCCAATAGATATTGATGAAAGATTTAATAAACTTTTTAAAGCAAAAAAGAAGTGGACAGTTCAAGAAATAACACCCTATATAACGTAAGTAAAAATTAATTGCATTTGTAAAATACAATCTTTTTAAAAATAGAAATTATTTCATTTTTTTTTCAGAAATTTAACAACGCATAAAATGAATGTTAATGCTCTTCTAACTAAGTATGCTAGATATTCAATTATTAATGGTATTAAGTATTATAGTTCAAAATATGGTAACTGAAATTACTTATACTGCTGAAATCATTCTTGTTGTTTATTATTCTGTTTGTGGTCATAATACATAGTTACATTTACACAATTTTATAAATATTTTTTAAATATTACATACTGTGTTTATTCTTAGTCTTTATCACCTATAACAGTAACAGGATCAATAATGGTAGAATATTTTCGTTCCAGTATCTATTTTTTCTTGTTTCCCTTCTTAAAGAATTGCAACTACATCTTCAAGAACAATTATCAGCACTAACAATTATAAATAGTTCATGTATTTATTATTTCGTTACAGTTTTCGAAATCTTGTATAATGTAACTATAGAAGAATTTTAGCTATAATGCTAAAATAAATTAAGCTTTTATTTTCATGTTAGCTTATACATAGAAGTAACTAAATAAATTTACCAAAAAGAAATTAAAAATATAAAACTCAGTCGAAGTTATAAGAGTCAATTGTGTGTTCATAAAGAATAAGTTCGTCCTAAAAATCTTATAATTTTATTATATCATTATATATTGTGATATTCGTCATGACATTCTTGCGATAATTACATATCATATAGAGGAATTATAGAACAAAAGGTATACTTTATATAGTATTATAATATCGAAGACAGTATAAACATACACCACAAGATGTATCTATTTTTCAGTGGAATTCTGATAAATATGTAACTAAACTGTAACAAATGTTCAAAATATGCATATGCATAGTTAAACATTCATGAAACATCAAAGTCACTAAAAATAATACTCTTAATTATTAACATTATTGTTAAATGATATAAATTTTGGGTATCTATTTACATATACCTACTTAATGCAATTCTAGAAAAAAAGTACCCTATACTCTCGATGCAATAGCAGTGTCAAACGTCGTAATCATGAATTACAAATTCCTGGGATGATACATTAAAATATTACTGTACATTTTTATTGCGTTAATAGCAAAATTTGTTTATATTATATAAACACACCTTGGCACATTAGTATTAAAAAATTGTGGTTGTTGTAAAATAATGAATAATATAAAAATCAGTCAATCATCATGGATAATAATATTAATTTAATATGAAACTAAATTTTCCCAGGAACATAAAAGGTAATAAATGTATAAAAATGGAATACTTCATATTTATGGAATATTTAATAGAGTCATAAATGCACTGTGTGTGTTCTTACAAGCGCACTGTGTTGACGAGTTATCAATACTATTCTTATGCAAAGATGAAATTTTTATAAATATTTTATAGGAACTGACTTGCCGCTGAAGAATGATTCATTTTTTATAAAACATTTTATATAAATTTCACAAATTGGTATGAATTGCTAAATAATTACCTAATAGAAATAACATTCAGTCCCATTTTTTTACAATTATAATCACTCCTCTTAGCAGGAAACATACTATTAAATTATAAATTCATAAAAACAACTTCGCAAAATTGTATCCTATGAGAAATTCGTTTTTTGCAGAATACTTCGAACTATTCGCTTAAATATATATTTATAAATATATATAGAATTATTCAACTACTTACAGGGTGATGCAATGAGACAATCTCCAAAGTGATGTATCGTATACATCATGATATTGTAATAGCAAGCCTGTTATAGTTAATTTTCTATAATGTTAAAGTATATGTAACAAAATTTAAATAACTCCTCATGTAAATATTGGTTTTGTATCGATAAAAGTTACGTACACTTATAACACTTGAACTTTAAATTCGAGGGTGCCTTTTGCGTCACCCTATATACGTGGTTGTCATATAATAACAAATCAACAATAATTCTAAAGCTTTGGAGTGATTTCTTTATAGCTGTGACTTACGGCCTTTAGTAATAATTCTATGACTACATCTAACGAATACTGTCCTATCTATAAGTACGTTTAGACAAAGTTTGTTAAATGTTAAAAAGAGCTATAAAAAGCATAAATACTAAATCTCCTGCTGCTGAATTATGCGTGAGATGTAAATGGGTAACTTGTACGATGTAGTCTATGTACATATAATTATTCTCTCGAAGTTTTCCTGAAATTAACAAATATAAATGCAGTAAAGTAACGAGTAGAAGAAATTTCATGTGAATGTAATGAATAATTTGAATTTACCTTAATACAAGGCACCTCGTTGTTAGCTATCAGTTGTTGCACTTTCATTTGTCGTTTTATTATTAGGTGCAAACACTGACTGTTGATTAATACCTGTTGTAACTGTTTGACTTGGATGAATGACAGGTCCAACTGTTTGGACTAAATTACAGGTAACTGGTACCATTGGTGGCAGATTAACCGAATTATTCATAGGGCTGATATTACAAGATAACGATGGTCTTTTTCTTTCTAAGCTATTTGTGGTCATTTGTCTCCTTGTTGTTGAATTACGTTCGAGACTGTTAGTGACGATATGATGCCTTCTTTCTAAACTAGAACTACTGCTAACATCAGTTTGGCTACCCTAAATGCAAAATTGTATTTTTAGAATATTGTTCTACTGACGTTATTTAATCGTCATATAAAATTAAGTTTAAAGTACAGTTTACCTGCAACGAACGATCAACGGATTGTCCCATTCTATGTAGAAGATCACCGCTTTGACTCTGTCTGAATGTTGTACCTTGACGTTCACTCGACTGACTTCTCCTTAAGAAATGTTCTCCAGATTGACTGGAACGAATACGACTTTCTGGCATTGATTCTTGTGAAGTACTAATATGATTTTGCTTTTGGCAAATTTGGCCTTCTACGTATGGATATCGAATGCGTATTGAATCGATTACATCTAAAAGATTTTTTGCGTCCATTGCTAAAATATGTGCTGCTGATAGCATTCCTCTGAAATTACATTAAATATTTCTTAATATTTTCATTCATCTGTTATGCATGGAGATATACCAATAAGTATTAATCGAAACATTTACTTTCGGTATTCTGCATCCAAAGTAGTAGCACTGTATTTCTGAGCATGCTTCATAGCAGTTACAAGTTCTGCCA